GCGGCGGGAAAGGAAATGGCGGGCGGGATGGCCCCCTCCGCTAGGAGACACTCGGGTCTAGACGGCTTGGCAAGGCCGGCAGGGCTGAGTCACATGTGTCTGGAGTTGGAGCCGTGGGCGCCAGGACTGGAACATGAACGTGCCCACTCGGGAGGGCCAGGCGGGGGAGGGGGCACTGAACCCTGCCTTCGGGCTTCCTCAACCCGAGCCGAGCACGAGCCCCAGTTTTTGCCCAGTCCCTGTCCTCTGCCTGAGGCCCCTCAAGGCCCACCTGGAGGGGCAGAGGCCCACATTATTGACAGGAACCAACTGGAATTTCAGAGGGGAAAGGGGATGGTAAAATGATCCCCACATGCCTCCATCCCAATCATGGCCCTACTGTCTCCACCCACATCCCCCACTTGCGACCTTTCTGTCTCAAAGTCACCCTTGCTGCACTGTGACCCCTTCAGCCCACCTTCCACCAGCACCCTCCCCAGGGATGCCCACACCCCAGAAGCTGAAGGCTTCGGCTCCTCTTCCCCTGACCACCTTACTACCTGCCATCACCTGTCCCGTTTGGGGTTCAGTGTACCCCTTCCCTCCTCCTTTCTCTGTCTCCGTCTCTGTCTCTGTCTGTCTCTCTGTCTCTCACTTGCTGGCTCCAGAACACCAGGTCTCAGACAAGAAAGCACGATGCATGAGTCGGAATCGGCTGATGTATTTAGTGCTCACAAAAGAATCTGCAAGAAAAGTCATTTAATTGGGACCAGATCCTCTGAGGTTTCAATCGCATTAAAACAAGATGAGTTTTCTCTGGGGAAGGAACTGCTGGCAACCGGAAGAGGGCATGGAAAGTTTGGCTTTTTTCTTCTCAAACCTCGAAGAGAGAAAAGGCCCCTGTACCTTGATTTATATTCCATAGATGTGTGAACATGCACCCCATGGGTGTACCCAGCATCCGTGTGCACATGCGTGCACGCACATGCTGTTTTTGACGTTACTCAGACACAATGTGGAAGGCTCAAGAACAGGCCCGTTCCCATGCTTTGGGTCACCGAAAATGTGTGTCTTTGGCTGCAGAGCCACTGTTTTGCCCTGGGCCCTGACAGAAGTCCCAGCAGGTAGTAGGGGTTTGATACAGTCGTCAAATGACAGGTAATAGAAGGGCAGGACTAGCAGCTTAGATTTTAGCCCTGAACTTCAGATTCATACACGGGACTGCCTTCTAGGGGTCACCATGTTGCTGTCTTATTCCAACCTCACACCTGACAGATGGCGAGCCGGACTACCCAGCTTCTGCCCCGGGTCACTCCGCCCACAGTTCTGACCCACCCACTTCCCTCACCTGTGGTGTCTATCCTGGGCCAGCCACGATCACCTCTTTGCTGAGAGTGTAGCTGCCTCCACACTGGCTCCGGTTTTCTGGTCTTGTGCCCCGACAAGTTTGTGCTCCACCCTGCAGCCCCAGGGATCATTTTTATAATGTAAGTCAGATCATGTGAGCCCTCTGCTCAGAAGTCCACAGTGGATCCCTCTTTCCTTCAAGGTCAAAGGCAAAGTCGGCCTGCTCCCCTTGGACGCCCTATCAAACTGGCCCTCCTGCCCTTCACCAACCTCATGCCTCACTCAGTCTGCCCCACCACACTGGTCCCCTTGCTGGTTCTCACATTGGGCCAAGCTGTTTCCTGCCTCAGGGACTTTACACTGGCTGTCCCTCCTCTTCTGGAAGGCTCTTTACTGAAGCTTCTTCTGCACGCTATCTCTTTTCCACTCACATTTCCACCCAAATGTCACTTTCTCACAGTCCTCATCCGATCCCCTGTCAAAAATGTCCCTCCCTCCAATCACCATGGCCAGCCCCTTTCCTTCTGATAGGGTCCCTGGCTCCCCACTAGATGGTCAGCTCCTCAGTTCCATGAGTACGGGAGAGCTAGCCGTGTGGGTCACCATGACGCCACGCGCAGTGTCCGGCATGGGGCTTGGCTCACAGCAGGGACTCAGGAATGTTTGGTGAGCGAAGAATCCATCCTCCAGTCCTCCCTTGGTAGGTGGAGAGCTCTCAGCTGTGCAATTTTAAGGAATCTCGAGGGATGAAGAGCGCTGCTTTGGTATCCTCCAGGCTGCCAATTTGAGTCTCGACGTGTGAGGGTATGTGTGTGCTCGGGTATGCATGCGTGTGTGGACGGAGGGCCATGTAGAAGGGAAGGGCAGGAGGCAAAGAAGCAGGAGTCCCTTCCTCGCCCTTAGAATTCTGCAGTCGTGTAGCTGGAAGCGACCTTCATCAGCTAATGCAGCTTCTCTAGGCCCCTTCCAGCTCTCATATTCTAGAACTTTCTAAGGAGCCCATGTCCACCACATTGAGATGAGGACGCTGAGGCCCTAAACAGGGAGGTGCACTCCCGACATCACATGGCCAGTCCATCCAGGGCAGGCTGGGAGCCCAAAACTCTTTCCAGCAACCCCAGGCTGTATCCCTGGTTCCTGGAAAATGCTGACACTCTCCCACCCTGCGCTCCAGACACTGGGCTCAGGGTAGTGCTGGCCAGGGGCCCTGCCTGCCTCAGCCCAAGGCCACGGGTGAGCTCTGTGTGCAGGAAGGGTAGGCGTGGGAGGGCACCTCTGGTTCTGCCGAGCCCCCTGCAGGCTGGCTCTGCTCCGTGGGGTTCCTTCAAGGTCCCCACGATGGCCGGGCACCCCGAGACTGGACAGAATATGTGGGTAGGTGGCCACTGGACCCCAGCAGGGGAAGGGTATTGAGGACAGGACTCCACAGGAGCTGTGGAAGTGAGTGGCCAGACCTCATCCCTTCCTGCCTAGGTGGGTAGGAGTGAGGGTCCCTCCCTCCTGCAGGCCACTGTGCCAAAGAAACCTGGGAGCAAGCTTCCCCCCACCCCCAGCCCAGTTAATGGGAACCAGATGGCAGGATGTTTAGTCAGCGCCTGGGGAGCAACGAACAGGGGAAATGGGTTGGGGGCCAGGATTCCAGAATCCATCCCAGGGCAGGGGGAGGGTCAGAGCCGGGACTCCCACCGCAGTTGTCTCCAGAGGCGCACCTCAAATGGGGTCCTACTCCCACTTCAGGCAAAGGCAGGAGACAGAAGACCTGGCCTCTGGCGTCCGATATGGGGGAGCCTGATCTCTTCTTCGTTCCTTCTCTGTACAGTGGGGGAGGGTGCTCAGTCTTCCAGGATTCCTGGGCAAATCTCACTTAGGCTCCATTTCATACCTTGGGCCTCCTGAATCTAAGGGCTCCCCTGTCCCAGCTTCAGCCGACGGCTAACCCAGGACATCCTGTGTCACCCACAGGCACACAGGCAGACAATGGCTTCATCCTTGGCTTCCGAGTTGCTTTCTCACGCTCACTCCCCAGACAATCCCTGTCTCTGGTTTGTGTGGGGCACGATCCCAAATTCAGGCCATAAAACAACGCCCTGGACTAGATAAGGGGTGCAGGCAGACCCCCGTGTCCCTGTCGGACCCTGTGTGCTGTACATCTGGCTGCTTCCCAGACCCAAGCGGGCAGAGGCTGAAGAGACCTGAAGACCTTCTTGCTGGGGATTCCCTGCCTTGACCCACTTCCGCCCCTCCTGGGTTTCACACAGTCCCATGTGACCCCGGACAGAGACTTTGAACCTCAGGTGGTGATGAGAAACTCCTTTCTGAAGGCCCTTCCCAGCCCTGCTCCTACCCTGCCCCTCCCCCTCTACTCTCCACCCAAGACTTGCCCACAATTAACTCATTTTTTAAGATCGCTTCCAAACATAAGTCAATGCTGGACAGAGCTGTAGGAAAAGCTTCCTCAACGCTGGCCCTGAGAAGCCACGTGGTGAGCCCAGCCTCTTGGCCAGCCCTCACCCTTCTCCCCTGCCTGCCCTTGGCTCCCATAGCCGGGCTTGGGGCTGGAGCCCTCTGAGGGCCAGCCCAAGGCCTGTGCTCAGACCCCCCCTCCTTTGCCTCTTGCTCCACTCTGCTGCCCCTGCCCTCCGGCTTGGCCTCTTTTCCGCCCTGACCCACCCCGACCCCCAGATCCCCCTCTGACCAAGAAGGCATGCGTGAGCCATGGGGGCATCTCGGGAGTGCCTGATGACAGTGGTTACACTGGGACCCGGGACTCTTGGCCAAGAAGTCTGGGGGTACCTGTGAGATGGCCTTGCCCAGGCCACTGCCAGGCTACCCAGGCCTGGGGACTCTGAAGAGCCTGGCATCCTCTGGTCCACACATGCTCCAATGTTGGGGCGGGAACACAGCCAGGGGAGCCACAGGACATGTAACCTCATCCATTTTATGGAGAAGCAGTGGAGGCCTGGAAGGAAGGGCACTTCCCAGAGGTAGGCAGGGAGCTGGTAGGACCAGGAGCTGAGCTGTGTACTCCGGCCCCGTCCCGAGGGGCCCTAAGGGCTGGGATCCACACTTGCCGCCGTAGTTCTGGCCACATGTTCTGTTTCCTCCGGAATTGGGAGGCCTCAGCACTGTCGCCTACGGCAAAAGCCCGAAGGTTTCCAAAAGGGCCAGAGCTGCCATTGCCCAGGTGGCCCTGACGCCCGCCTCCTTTCTTGAGGACCCAGGAGGCCCTAGGGCCTGCCGCTTGCAAGGCCCGGCCCCTCTCCTTTCCCAGCCATGGAGGTAGGACCTGGCAGCCTTAGGTGGGCCTCACAGGCCCGCTGTGTGTGGAGACAGAAGCCCCATTCATGGGGGCCACTGGGCCCGAGCCAGTGGAGAATAAATGCAGGCCTTACAGAAAAAGAGCAAGAGCGCTCTGGTCCAAGAAATAATCAATCTCTCTTTCTCCTCAGGTGGGAGCAGAGGATGTTGGGAGAAGTTGGAAGCAAGTCCCGGGAAGGTGTTTGTTTGGAGGGGAGGCTTCCTGGGGGAGGGCCAGGGTGGGTGGGGGAGGCTCCAAGCACTGCAGCCAGGATCAGGCGCTCAGGGAGCAGGATTGCTGTATGCCATCCCGCATGTATCCCATCTTGCCGTGACTGCCGCTCCCACCTCTCCCAGCTATTCATCCTCTCCGCCAACCCAAGCAGCCTTTGCAGTCCGCACGCAGTGGCCATGAAGAGCATGCTGCTCCCCATCCTGGCTCTTTGGGTGGGGTGCTGCCCTGGAGAGGCCCTGGCCAAGAAGGGGCTGAACCTGAGAGAGCCCATGACCCCACCAACCCCCATGGGCTTACCCACCCTGCAGCTGCCGCTGCCCAGCCGGCCTAGGCCCCCTGATGGTGAGTAGGTGGCACCAGCAGGAAGAGGCTGGCTAGAGGGGAGCACCTCGCCCCATAAGCGGAACACCCCTGGGGCTGGGGCAGAAGGAGAGAAAGCTGGTCGCCCCGAGGCTGCCCACTGTTGCCCACCTTGAGTGCTGGGGGCAGGGCGGCTGGGAGGGGCCCATGGGCCTTAGGTAACCCTCCCTGGAGGACAAGGGGGTATTACAGACTCTGGGAAGCCTTGTGCCCATCGCCCAGAGTGGAGGCAGGGGAGGGGAGAGGCCCCCTCTAGAAGGGGTCACTACGGCTGGGGCTGGAAGAATGGATCTGGATTTTCTGGTTGGAGAATTGAGCTGGCTGCCCTAGGCCTATTGAGGAGACTGAGTGGAACATGGGAAGCTGGAAGTTGGGGACCTGGGGCTGGGGTAAGGTGGCACGAGGGGCCCCAGGAGACCGACTACAGTGTGGCCTTGGTCTCATATGCCAATGGTTAGTACCATGTTTGGTGGCCCATCCCCATGCCAGAGAATGGGGTGGGAGAGACCAAGGGATGGATCTGCAGGGGAGACCCACGGTCAGTGATGGTTAAGGAAGGTTGCCACTCAGTGCAGGGGAGACCTGGGGGCTATTGCCCCTCCTTTGCAGTGGCTGATGCTACCCCCCAGGCTCACCTTGCCCATAACAACCTCCCCTCCCAGCAGGCGCTGGGGCTCTCACCTCTGAAAGCAAACTGCCAGGCGGCAGTTACCACTTCAGCTCTCCAGAGACTATCTCCACCCTCTCTGCCCAGGAAGTACCCACAGGGACCCGGAGGCACAGGAGCAGGCCTAGCCCCTCTGCCTAGGGCCACTGAAACTCTCCTGGTCCCATTCCTGTGGGCCAGGGACCTGCCTACACCTTGTCTCAATGGGCTGGTCCCCGGCAGTAAAGAGCTGTCTCAGTTCTGAGAGGCAGGCAGGCAAACTCTGGTGCTCAGGGTCCCCCACTATGGGGTCATGAAAAGGTGGAGAGGAGACCAGGAAGTCTCTACCACTGGGTGGCCTTGGGGGTCTGTGCCAGAAGGATGAGAGCTCCTGAGGAGAGAAGAGAAAGGCAGAAGTGAGGTCTGCGTAAAGAGGGAAGGAACGCTGACACCCCCTCCCCTCACTAGGGGGAAGGAGGTGTTGCCACTCAGCCACGCAGGGGTCCTGGCCACGCAGGCCCACACAAGCTCCTTCTGCAGGTCAGGTGCAGCTTATCCCCAGGAATGGCAGCCAGGACAGGCCTGAGGACAGGCAGCCGGACTGGCCACGGTTACAATCACCCTCCAAGGAGGGCATCCATGGAGCATCCACCCAACCCCTGGTCCCTGGCTGGAAGGCCCCTGCCAGGCCAGGGCTGGCCCACAGGAAAGAGTCACCCCCAGCAGCCTGCGAGCAAGAACAGAGTGACAAGGGGCCCGGCCCTGAGCAGGCTCCACCCCAGGCCCCAACAACAGTGGGGGTTGAGGCAGCGAGGCCCTGGGCTGCCAAACTCAGGCCCTGGCAGACCAGCAGGAACTCCCGAGCAAAAAGAGTGGCAGTGGCCACTGAGAAGGGCCAGCGCAGGAAGTCAGGAGTCTGGGAAGCCAGGAAAAGGGGTCTGAAGTCCAGGAGGCTCCCCAAAGGTGAGGACCAGCTAGGACAGGCTGTGGGGGTGACGGGGCTGTGTGTGAGTCTGAAGAGTCCGAGGCTTGGTCCAACCTCCACCAATCACACCATCATCTCCAGCCACTCACACTCCACCCCGCTCTCAATGTGCCCAAGCCTAACACCTTTGTGTGTGGGGCAGGAGGGGAGCTCTCCATGGCAGGTCCCCTTCCCTATCCCCAGGGCCCTCATTTGGGCCTTTGCCCTTGGTGCCCAGGGAAGCAGGCTCAGTGGCTTTGTGTTCTATCCCAGCTGACTGAATCGCTGTCAGGTTTAGGGGCCCCAAGCAAGGCCCTGCCCCTCCTCTGATCCCTGTTGCTATGTGACCAGGCTGGGGCTGCATCTCATCCTCCAGGGGCCTCCCACCAACCTGGCCCGGGGGGCCGGCATCAAAAGAAGGACCGCAGCCAAGGCCAAGGTGGCAGCAGCACCTGGGAGACCACAGGTCATGGGCGGAAAAGGCCTGGAAGTAAGCGAGGGCATGGGCGTGGGCCTGCAGACCTGGGCACCATGGAGCAGGCCATGCCCTCCCTGCCAGCCTCATGCCTCTTGGCCCAGGCGGCCATTGCGTGCAGCAACGTCAAGATGAAACACGTCCCTGTCCTGACTGACCCTGGTCTGACCACGTTCTACTTGGCAGGTGGGTGGCCCTTCTCCTCCACATGCACCTCTGCAGCAGGGGTGAGATGGCCACACACCCAAGCTCCCCTCCCAGTGGGTCCTTGGCCACTGTGGCTGCCACCCCACCATGTCCTGAAAATGGTTCACCTTCCCATGCGCCCTGGTTGTCAGTGAGAAGATGCCCTGACTTGGGACAGCCAGAAGAACCAGCTCCTTCAAGGAGTGTGTCATTGCTGGCCTACATGGGGGAGGTACAGAATGGCAGAGGGGAGGGGGACAAAGAGGCATGGAATATGGCTGCCCCATGTGTGTGCACAGAGAACGAAATTGCCAGGATCTCGGCCCACACATTCCTGGGTCTGCCCAACCTGGAGTGGCTGGACCTGAGCAAGAACAAGCTGGATGCCCGAGGCCTGCACCCCAATGCCTTCAAGGTACGCAGCAGCCCCTCCACCTGCTCTCCCAGGAGGCCTGGGCCAGTCCAAAATGGCTCCAGGAATCCATTGCTCCTCGCCCCACCCTGCCTGGAGGATAAGGTCTGAAGGAAGCACTGCGTAGAGTACGCAGCATGGCAGGCTTGGATGATTTGGGATGACAAGGCCTATGGCTGGAAGGGTGGAGATCAGCACAGATCCTTGGGCCCCATGAGGGAGCAGCAATGCTGGGAGAAACTAAGAGGGTTCTGGAATCCCCCAGACAGGCCTGGTCCAAGTGGGAACTAAGAAGTCATGATGCAAACCAATGAGGGTGCCCCATGGGCAGGATGAGCCCAAAGCCACATCCAGAAGGCCTAGATCTGAAGGCCTAGCCCTGGCCTGCAGAGAACCACAGCCCCTAACCACCTCTTCTCCTAACTTCCAGAATCTGACACGGCTAAAGCGGCTGAACCTGGATGGGAACTCACTTTCCACAGTGCCAGCCTTGCCCGCCTCTCTGCAGGAGCTCAAACTCAACGACAACCTCCTGCAAGGCCTGCAGCACAGCAGCTTTCGGGGTTCGGGCATGCCCCAGGGGCAGGGACCAAAGGGGCCAGGCCTGAGCAGCCAGGAAGTCCTTGGAAAGTTTTGGGCGAGGGGAGGGTATGCCAAGGGCAGCCTGACTGGAGGGCAGGGAAGGTTGCACCAGCCTGGGAAAGTGGCTTTGGTCTCTAAGAAAGCTATAGCAGTTAGTTCCCAGTGGGCCTTCAGAGCTCTGCAATGGGCTCAGGTGCCCCTCTGCCCGCGCACCCCGCAGGGCTCAGCCAGCTGCTGACGCTGGAGGTGGAAGGGAACAAGCTACATGACGGGAACATCTCCCCGCTGGCCTTCCAGCCTCTACGCAGCCTGCTCTACCTGAGGCTCGACCGGAACCAGCTGCGGACCATCCCACCTGGCCTGCCAGCCTCCCTGCAAGTGAGCTGGGAGCCCCGAGGCTGGGAAAGTCAACGTTGTGGTCAAATGACCAGATAAAGCCACGAGGCCTCAGCACCGAAGGTCTCTCCTCTGCCTGATCTAACCTTCCTAAAGCCCAGAGTTGGGCCTTGAGGACTGTCCTGGACCCACTGGATGTCCCTGAACAAGGACCATGCCTGCTCTGGGCCACACGGTCCCCTTGTGCTTGGCGGTACTTGCTGGGGCTGTGTCTTGGGGGGCCCTGAGACACCATGGCATGGCTGGCAGGTGTCACTGAGATTCTTTGAACAGATAACCATGGTCCCAAGAGGAGCAGAGACAGCGGTACCTGAGTACCACAGATGGGGCCAGGTGGAAGGGGCCAGGGAGCAGGGCTAGGCCACCAGGGAGTGGCGGATGGGCTCTTCACTCTGAGCTCTGACCCTAGGAGCTGCACCTGGGTGCCAAAA